CATCTGGGTATGTACCCCAGTTGTAAATGTGTAGTTTGGTCTGTAACTTTATCCGTAAACTGGGCTGTTTGTCACACCCATCTGGGTATGTACCCCAGTTGTAAATGTGTAATTTGGTCTGTAACTTTATCCGTAAACTGGGCTGTTTGTCACACCCATCTGGGTATGTACCCCAGTTGTAAATGTGTAGTTTGGTCTGTAACTTTATCCGTAAACTGGGCTGTTTGTCACACCCATCTGGGTATGTACCCCAGTTGTAAATGTGTAGTTTGGTCTGTAACTTTATCCGTAAACTGGGCTGTTTGTCACACCCATCTGGGTATGTACCCCAGTTGTAAATGTGTAGTTTGGTCTGTAACTTTATCCGTAAACTGGGCTGTTTGTCACACCCATCTGGGTATGTACCCCAGTTTTAAATGTGTAATTTGGTCTGTAACTTTATCCGTAAACTGGGCTGTTTGTCACACCTATCTGGGTATGTACCCCAGTTGTAAATGTGTAGTTTGTTCTGTAACTTTATCCGTAAACTGGGCTGTTTGTCACACCATTCTGTGTGTGTGTGTACCCCAGTTGGAGAAGTCCCAATGCATCGCGTTGCCCGAATCGTCATTACTCAAAATAAACTCCTGCCTCACGGGAGTGATTCACTGCCTCACGACGCCGACGCTGACTTCTCTACTAATTGTTACAACCGCAACAACACCGTTCTGGTTTTTGGTCTGCCTCTATTTTCAATTCTATACATTTTCATATGTGCTGTGAAATACTTTATTTTAAATATATAATTATTTTACAAATGAAACAAACCTTCACAATTCAATTCTGTAAGATAAAACACATATACTGTATAATACAACCTTTGTATTATATAAACAAATTTGCTTTGTTTTTTAACTTCGAGTTGATTTTGAAATTTTACTTTTCCTTTTTAAATATTTAAAAGTCGATTTTATTTTTGAATGGCATACGAGTCATTTGAACTTGTTTTGTTGTTTGTGGTTTGTTGCAGTAGTTTTGATGTTCACCTACCAAATGGGGGTTTCCGAATTGTCTGGACATATTTTGTGGACTGGGTCCTTAGACTAAGGCAAACATAAAAGTCCATATAAGTATGGGTCTAAACAGCCTATATTTCTGTTTGTCGGTCTGTTTGTAATTTTAAGAATTATTTTATATCTTGAGCATTTTTCAAGATAGAAATTTCAATATTGGTGTTAATGTTTATATTAGTAGGTAAAAAGAGTTACAAAGTTTTGTTCCAATATCTCAAGCCGTTTTAATAAAGCAGCTATTAAAAATCTTTAGTGACAAATTTCATAAAAAAAACTATTAGCTATTATATTCCATCATATTTTCTTACTCAGACTTTTTTACTAAATGGAGAAGTATAGTAAACCTTAGTTCAAAAAGGTAATCTGTTTTATTATAACAATTTCACTGTAATAATAAGTACGATAGGACTTATTATTACAGCACAAATTGTGTATTTAAATTATTGGATTGATAATTCGTCTCTGAGGCATAACGAATATTGAAGTAACCTTTTACTTTTAAAAAATTTCTGTATAGCTGAAGAAATTGAAATCCAAGGAAAATCATGGTTCATTCTTACTATATAAATTGCACTACTTATTTTGAACAGTCAGTTCATGATTCAACTATCAAAGTAGCCTATTTATTTAACATTCATTTTCAAAAACTTTCTTGTCTCTTGTTTACAGTTTGACTAATGTTAAAAACACGACTGAAAGTAGTCAACTGTTAAACCACAATTACATGACATTCCTATTTAAACTATTATAAAAAGCTAATTAGCAATACTGGACCTTTGAAAGCAATCTCCAGACACAAACTAAGGCTAGGGGGCGAAGGACTAAAGATAATTGCCTTTTTAATTACTACTTATCACTCCGCTAGATCGTAAGCTTTATAATGCAGTTCATCTTATAAATCAGTTAAGTAGGGTGGTTGACAAAAAGGTGTAACAGAGGTGACAGGATGTACATTGTACATGGATGTAGTGGAGACACGCTTTATTATATTGAGTATATAGATAGACTATTTAAATAGTTACTTTTTCACTCGAGTAATATTTTATCTTTACAGAGAAATATCTTATACCAAACACATTACTTTTTATTTAAATTTGGTTCTGGCAATAGTAGAACAAATGAGAATCCACCCCTTTGTTACGCAAGCAAATGCAAGAATCATGCAAAGAAGTTTAAAAATAATCTCGAAAATAGAAAGTTATTCCTAGGCTGTTAAAACCACATATTTTTTGGTTTTCAAAATAATTTGACAACTAGAAGAAACAATGAAGCCTTTACGTTAGTGTGTGAGTTTTATTTTTGGACTGTAAAGGTCAGGTTCGTAGTTGCACGGGTCCCAGGCAGCAGGGACGGTGGTGCCGTGATAGGTCGCCCGGGCTTCAATTTATAACTCCCACAACAATGTTCAACTAACTCATCTAATGACAGAAGTCTGCTCTTGGGTCGTGGAGAAATTATAGAAGATATTAATTAATAAGAGAAGGCAACACACACTGTCTGAACATGAATGATGCTCACGTGGTCCAAGCTTGTAGTTCCTTGGTCAATAGAAGCTCTGAATTATTTTAAGACAGGAATATTGAAGTAAGCCCCTCTTACTCTTAAAATATGTAACTAGTAAGTATGTAACTGTAAAGAGTGTAATCTTACCAGTTGAAACTTTAACTTTGGATATCGGCTTTAAATCCATGCAGAGAATCTGAAAATAATTTTATTAGACAGTTGTTCTCTAGTTGCTTGATTTTGGGTTTATAATTTGTATTTCAACTCCATAAACACTAAAAACTAGATTTATTATATTTTGATTAAATGTTCTTGAAAGATAAAAAATTGGAGTTTTATTTCAATATTTGCTTAGGAAGTTATCAGAAACATCAAAGAGCTCCAATGTATATCAAAGAGAATTTGCAAGGGGGAGGAATAAAATGAATAAACATTTTAAATTTTTTTGATAACAAGTCGCATTAGAAACAACGTAGTGATTTAGTTCTTTAAAATTAGAAGCTATTATATAAGTAGGCTCAACTTATTATCAACTCAAACTCTTGCCCAGTTAAAGTAAAATGTGACCGGTTAGAAAGAATCTCGTAATTTTAACACCCACAAAACAATGGTTTTGGGAGACGGGCGATGATGTGGATTACCCCTAAATACATTTAAATAATCCAGATGTAAGAAAACACATTAGTATCCTTCAATAGAAGAAGTAAATGTGACATAGAAGACTTATATGACAGTTATTGTATATTTCATGGACTTTAAATACAAATCCGTCTGTTTCACTTATGGATAAGAGAATAAAATGAACGAAACTATGAAAATCCCAGAAGCACCTAAGTCCGCATTTTTGTTTAATTGATTGACATGTTGTTTAAACACAATTATTTTATTATGTAGACAACCTAATAAGCATTCCGTTTACAAGGAGTGCTACCCGAACAGTGAAGAGACTTTTCCTAGTCATAAACAAGATTCACAAATTAAAAATAAGAATCAACGTTTAGCAAAGGAATATTTGAAATAGTTTAGTATTACGTCTCATTAGGAAGAATCATGCCGGCAGGACAGCAGCTGTCGCGCCTCTCACCCTCTCATTCCATCCTCATCACCAACATTCCTGTTGTAACACGTAATGAATGAGGGCTTCTGAGAACCAGCGATCTCCATCTGCCAAATAATTACGTTAAAAACCTTGTCGGAACAATGTTTTACGCGTTTAATTGTTGACGCTTGTATTTATTGTATTTATGTAAAGTTTTTTTTCTAAATTAATTTCTATTCACATATCGATGATTAGTCAACAAGTAATTAGTAACTAATAATACATAAAGTAGTCAAATCAACTATGAAACGCTTTCCAAAATCGCTTCATTGCCAGATATCCGCCATTTTTTTTTCTTACATGACATTTTTTTCTTTGTACAGTTTCGATCAAACTTTATTACACTTTATGTTATGTATGGGTGGAAAAGACCCACGGAAATTAAACCTTTCCTAAATTAGCTTCGTTAACCGCATATCCACCATATTGTATTTTTACGTAAACATTTGTATCATTGGATTGCTTTGGCCGAGCCTAATGAAACTATGTATGTAGAAAATACCCATGCTATATGAAAAATATCTTTTTCCAATTCAAAGCTTTTTACATTTAAATTACTAAAAATGGCTGATATATTACAAAAATGTTAAGTACACTTTTATTTGGCACGTAAAATTTGCTGTCAAACGACACGAAGTTTAAAAAAAATATTTAAAATAGCTGAAATATCACGATTTTTAGTTGTAAAATGAAGTGCAATATGACTGCTTAGCCTATCTATCTCACTTTACAACAAAAGAACTTGCTGTCGTTGGATAGGGAATGTTTAGTAAAAAAATTAAGTGTTGTTGGAAAAAAAGCGTTTTTGTATTTTTTTTTTAATCAAATAGCCGCCATTTTGAAACTATGAATTGTATCAATATATTTTTTCATAGAATGGGTCTTTTCTACTTTAACATAAGTTACATACCAAGATCATAATGCTTGGTCAAAACAATCCAATGATAAAAATGTTTACGTAAAAAATACAAAAAGTGTATACGTCGTTAACGAAGCGATTTTGGAAAAAATTTTATTCTAGATCTATTTTTACCCAAGAAATTGTTACGAAAATTAAGTCTATACCTTTTAAAACACCCTGTATATAAACTATTTATTCTTAGAATCATATCAATGCATTTATAATTTACTAAAACCCACTTTACAGAATGTCTACGAAAGGATGAAATGAAATTTAAAAGTGGCAAGCAACGAACCCAAGGTACATTGAATAATGAAGACCTCGGTATTACATGTTATACAATCTGTAATGTAACCTGCAATATAGTCTGTGACGCAATGTATTTTAATCCACATACATAGCACGCTGTTGTTTGAAGACTCATCGTACTCCCTGGTTGTTTTAGGCAAGTCCCACGGCAGCAGCTACTCCCTGTTTCGTCTCAGCCAGAAAGCGTCCCCCGGGGTGAAGGCGTTCTCGGAGACAGGACGGTCGGACCTGCTGGAGGCTCCAGGACCAGGGGTGTTCGATGAGTTTGTAGCTCCTGCCATACCTTCCGGAGCGGGTCGCACCGAGGCACAGTTCTTCCTTGACGGCAACAATTCTCGAGTGAGAGACACAAAATGACTGTTGTAGTAATAAATAATCTTAAGTGTTGCTGACTTAATATCAAATATGTTAAGCTATATACATTACTTTACAAGTCTTCCACAATATGTGGTAATTACTGGGTTATGAGAACATTAATGATGAGAATTGCAAGAGAGAGACGGTCATGTACAGTGAGGCATTCGTCGTATCTTGTAGCAAACAAATGATCTTCTTTGTTATAATGAGATCAATTTAATATGTTCTCCCCGTCGTTCGTAGAAACAAGTGAATGAGTGTATTTTGGATTTGAACATTATAATCATCAGAAATATAATACGGAATATTTGTAGTTACTGCAACACACTGGCAAATGTATTTTCTTTTCTTTTTATAAAACAATGTAAAAACAAAGACTGGCCATTATTTTTGTTTATAACTTTGGGCTTAGCATAGCTTATATTACTGTTCATTTTACAATTTGTTATTCAGTTGTTGTCCAACCCTTACAATATGAGAATTTCTACAATTCTCACCTGAGATTTTATTAAACAAGGAAACGTAGGATACGATAAATATTTCGATAGCAAACAACAGTCTCTGGGTATAGCTTGAGTCTTGTCTGGTGTTGCCAGGTGTCACTGATGTCTCGCATCATACCTTCCCCTGACTGGTTCATTGGCATCGACTCCTTCGACCTCTGCGTGGACGGCAACTGGCTGGACACCATCACTATTGAGGTGACTTTTTAACAAGTACACTTATAGCGTCAAAACACATGTGGGTACGATATCTAAAACAGTGTCTAAGAACTGAATTCAAACACTGTCGTTTTGATTACAATATAAATAATAGATTGTGAACTATAATTTAATAATAACAGCGTTCTACAATCATGTATTTTTTTAATGGCTAGGATTCCCATTTATATGTGGAAAAGTTGCAAGAGAATTTTAAGGATGATATTATGTTAATAAAAACACAATTTTGGTTACATTAGGTCAAGATTAAGCTCGACAAGATACTATTAAGAATAGTTGGCAGCACTAAGGTGGCTTTAGTTGCATGTTTTATCAGCGGAGGGCTCTCTCAGCACTCAGTGCACGTCCCACACACAACAACCACAAATCACCACCGGCTAATGTGACTTCCAACACTTATTTAGCTACGTTTTACAAGTACTAATGGCAACAGTGGAGAGCATTTTGCAGTTTGCAGCTTAAAGGCTATTTGTTGATCCCAAACAATGGTTCAACTGGCAACACGGTCCGTGTTGCCATCGGTCCGTGCCACGGTCCGTTCAGAATGCTAAAATATGTGAAATCGTAAAGGAGACAAGATTATTGAACATTTTTTTTGTTATTAAATACAGTCATGCCAAACAAATATCTTTCATCAGAATGTTGCATCTTTTCTGTGTTAGGTAAAATCTTTATCCGACTACAAGTTTCTGTCAACCACTACCTGTCTTTTTTGTCCGACAAGTTTATTTAAAAAAAAATATTTAAATTATTTTTAACACATAAATACACTAAGTTAGTCATATTTCTTTTACAGAGACGGTTAAAGGTTTGTGACTATTGATTGAATCTGACATCTTGTAAATTCGCTTCGAACTATACAAGGTGTTTTTTTAGTGCAACCCATAATACAAGAACAGAGATTCACTGTTTGGAGACAAAACAAGATCTTATGTCGGCATCCCTACTTCCTTTAATTCATATTCTATCAACTGACAAACATTTAGTATTCATGTCTGCACGGTTTAGTATTATTGCTCAAAGCGTATATATTGTAGAAGAATATGTTCAAACTAAATAATCCTTTTAAATGATTACAATTAAGTTGTTTGGCGTGATCCCGCCGATCATGGTACCTAAATAATAATAAACTTCAAGTGTAAACTGGAAAAAAATAATGTAATTATTTTTTTTTTAATACTATGCACATTATCAATCTTGATCATGGGTTGCGTTGTAGAGTAAAATATAAAGATTTTATTTAGAATATTTTTCTAGCAACATTTTACCGTGTACAAGACATGCATCAATGCATATATTAAATATACGGCCTATTGGAAGAAGAGATTCCAACTTTCAGCTTGTTTTGTCTGTTAACAGTTACTCTCTAAACTTATGATTTTGGATGTATCACACTATTGTTGGACTAACTTCCTGTCTCAATGGTCTAAGTCTAATTGATATTTAGGATACAAAGAAAATTGTGTGGGGTTTACTTTATTTAATATCATTTCCTATTTAGTTTGGATATGTATGATCAACTGTCAACAGTGACCCCTCAAACACCAAAGGATGGTAAGGTTGTTGAAGCGAGTGTCCTTGACAAGGGAAAGAGTGGGGTCAACAGGTGGATGGGTTGAGTTATATTCGGGTCAGGTTTGTAAGGGACATTCAGCTACTTTGCCAGGACTCTACACTACGATCCCTCCGGCACCGGCGTCCATACACACACATACACACACAGCAACGCATACACAAAGCCAGACTTGAATACAAACAAGGATCGCTTTTGACACAGCCCGTCTCTCTGACCAAGTAATATCGTGCCAAGATAAGGGTCTAAAACTCGTGCAAGAAGTATATCTATACTTATAGGTCTTTTAGTGTACTTATATAATTATTAAATATACAAAATCACATAACAAATATAAGATAAGACAACCAATCATCTCTTTTTTTTAAATTCACTTAAGATTTAAATTTCATCATCTCGTAATCAGTTATCTAATGCACGATTTGTTACTTTGTGCGATGATGACGTTGAATCCAATATCATCTGAACATTATAATGGGTTTAACGAATATCTAGGTTTACCTGAAAAGATTCTGCACATCATTGTTTTTATTTAATATAATTTGTTACCCCTGCTCAGACAGTAATACTACTAAAATATAAAATATATTACTCAATTAATTAGAGTTCCCTCAAATGTTATTTGTCAATATAAATTGGATATTGTGCATGATAACATGTAATACAAATTTTTTTTCTTTATGGCTGAGCCACCTTTAAAATAAAAGCAACGTTTTACAATTTCTAATAAAAAAAAACCAGGCAATTCGTTTTCCAATGCTATAAAACAGTCATGGTGAAAGCCCATCGTGTTGAAATTCAATAGTCCAAGTTGTGAATATCAACGAGGTCTCTCTATATGCAGCTGTCGGATTATGCATGTCCTGTTGAAACGATTACCATGTTCCAGGTTGATCCGCTGGACGCAGGGACGGATAATGGATTCACGTTCACCGCCCCTAACTGGGCGACGTCACCTCAGGGCGTGATCTACCGCATCACCAGCCGCTACCCCTCACACCCGGCGGGCTCGTTCTACTACCCCTACCTCAAGCGTCTGCCGCCCATCGCCACCTTCCAGTTTATCAAGGTGGGCAATACTCGCCTACTTGGTGTTTTGAAAGCTTTGTGGGGGTAATGTGTTAAGAGTTTATGTAATATAATCTTATCTTACTAATATTATAAATGTGAAATTTTGTTTGTTTGTTTGTTTGTTTGTTTGTGTGTTTGAAGTTCAATCACGCATAAACCACTGGACGGATTGGGCTGAAATTAGGCATGATGATAGCTTACATTCCCGATTAACATATAGGCATATTCTTATCTCAAAGATCCTTTCGGGCTCCGCCCCAGTGGCTCTGTAATTCTCCATGTTAACCTTATGAGTATTCATATTTAACGGGAATTAAAGAATTTAGTCAGCTGTTTCAACTAAAAAAGTTGGTTCTATGATATGGAAAAGCATTAAAAAGTTATAAGATTTACCAACAGGGTGCAGCACTATATTTTTTTTGCATTTATGAAAACAGCTAATTTGAACTAAGCAGCAACAAAAAACTGTGATTCGCAATGAGAACTGTCAAAGTAGGATTGTTTACAGTTATGTTTATGTTTTTCATTCCATGAATAATTTGTGATATTTTGCGAATTGTTGATAATTTATTTTTGTCTATTGCTTAGGTGAAGTGGTAGAACATTATGGCTATGGTAGATGTGTAATAATATAGAATACTGTAAATTAAAAAAAAAACAAATGTTATCAAACTGTGTCCTCCCTTATTGCAAACGCAAAGCTTGAGTATAACTGCAATAAGCATTTTATACTTATATTCCAACCCCGTACGAAGGACGGGTACTCTGCTAGTACTCAATATAATTAAATGTTTCATCTGTAGAGCCGAGAATACGAACTAAACGAAGTTTTCCACCACTCGGAGGACGACAAGAGGTACGAGCTGGTTAAGCTGGACACTCCTAACAGCATCAGCGTCCTCAACAGCAACGACGACGTGCAACTGGAGATGGAGGCAGAGCGACGGGAACAAGAACAGAGGCTGCAGCAGCGACTGGCCACACAGTACGTCAATACGATATCATTACTTGTTACTATTGTCACTGTAAAGTAGTAATTTATAATAGAGCAATATACTCAGTTATATGTATGAAAATGCGGAATTGAGATAAGTTTGTCGCAAAAGACAGCAGACTCTCACAAGTCACGTATCAAACAGTGCAGCACAATGTGTAATGCAGTGGGGATGTCAAAGGGGCTGCCAGTGACAATAAAAACAGTTTAACGTGAATGTGGCTTAATGTAACTTTCTAGCTATTTTCTGGGAAATCTTTTGTTGACCTGCATTTCATCTCAGCGAAAGAAGTTGATAGTTTGATGTCTAAAATATCATTGCAAAGTAGACTAAAGTTTGTTCGCTGATTGAGAGGGTCAGGTAACGTACATTGACGCAAATGTGTGTACAATGATGCTGCATTAGACAATTGCTTTGGGATGGATTGATATATATATATATACTGTCATCTTAACTTTTTAAAGTTTGAATCCAAAACCATGTCCTACTTGTTAAAACCTTTTCACAGTAGCAAAAACTTTGTTCACAATGGACACTGGATACAATGGATTTACTGGGTTTTCTTCTTTAATATGTTGGTTTGATCATTTCAATGGGGCTATGTAGTTGTTATGAAACACAATTGTTATTATTTTAAATATTAGATATAAAAAAAACCTAATATTGAATGAACTTTTTGGAAATATATTAGATATTTATTTCAATTTGCCTTCTTTTGCTAGAAATACAATAGCTCGAACGAATGCCTTCATTAGACACGCTAGAAAGAATAGAAGGAGAGGATTTAGACGGAAACAAAGGTATTATGAGCAAGCAGAGTTCGTTTTATAACCTTAATTAACGTTTATTAGTCCTGTGTTTGTGTGCCAAACTAACACTACTATTTAATCAGTAGAATGGATGAGTAGCTTTGTTTCGAACACTAAATTTTAAACGTAGCACGTTTTTGTAAATTACATAAAAAGTTAAAAAAACTAATTCCCTTTTCAATTGGAATCTAATTATAATTTACATGCATATATCGTAAAAAAATCTTAGGATTTACTCGTATATATACTGCAGTTTATTGTAAAACAACCCAGAGAAAGTTTTTCATCGTGACAAATCCACCAACTACTAAATAATTGTTGTTGTTCATAAAGTATGCTGCATTTTCAGAGCACTCTTCTAATATTACTTTTCATATCAGACCCAAATAATCACCTAACATACTAACTTTTTAATACAAATATCCACCTCTTTTGTATTTAATAAAATCACTTTTTCATTTACAAAGGATTTATATACTAGGTATCTTTTAACAATCAAATAATGTGTAGTCTAATTCAAATTTTAAAACGGATTATAACGTTATTATGTCATGGGCATTTAATAAGGGTATGTTCAATCAAAACAAACCCTCACATCAACATAAGTCGAGTCAAAACTTAGGTCCTTTTCTTTCCAGACCATGATAATGTAGGGTAACACGGCTTACCTTTTTTACCATTGATTTTTTGTACGTTCATTTTATGTCGGCGTTAGTGTTTATGTGACAATTTTCTGTACTACACAGAACCTCATTACCTAGGCAGTGTGCACTTAACCTTCCAGTGCGCTCACACAGTAAGGGATCGACTGGACAAGTGGCTAGGGGCTCAGCGACTTGCAGGACTTTCAGATGAGAATAATCTGCTTTGTACACTGCAAGCCATACACAGTTATCCTAGTAAAGTTAGTCCCTACAATCGCCAACTATATACAGTGATTATTACAGTCACATACACTGTGGATGAATCCTATGTAACCTTCAGTCGTAAATTTGTACATATCATATTACCGATGGTATACTTTTTTAAGCTGGTTCACTGCGCTAAAAATGAAAACACCCACATTGTTTTGTGTATCGATCTCCAACTTTATGGGACTCTTCAAATGCATGTAGGGAAATGGGGGTTTTAAAAATCCTTTATTAGTATGCACAGAATAGAGCTTCACTTTATATATTACTAATTCCAGGCATCCGTGCCCTCGCTTTTTCAGACAACAGTCCATTAAAAGCGGCTATCAGAGGATAGCGCTACTTCTGAGTAATTTATTACCATTTGTCTATTACTCCTTACTCGTCAGCTGATGAGAGGTATCTTTTGTGCAGGTTACCAGTGTCGCCCTTAACAGCGACGCCCCCCGCCCCCCTGGCCCCCGGGGTTATTCACTCGGGGGACAAGGACGCTCTGCTCAACAGCATTGTGGAGACCTATCACAACAGAGAGGTCCACAAACCAAGGAAAGGCCGAAAATATAGTGAGTGGGACCTCTTCAAGCATGGTTTGTTACATTTTTATTTTCTTTTGTTGTATGGTGTATTATTTTATAGCTTTTAGCCATTATATTTGAATATTTTTTGCCATGCTATTATTTATCCTACATTTCTCGTGTAGTATAAAAATACCCTCGCCACAGCAAACCTACAGAGTAAGTATATTTCCATTTCATTGGCTGGATTTCTACTAAAATATTTCCTAAAAATGTTCAGATGTATTTCCTATTTAAATAACTTTAATTTTCGTGAGTACAGTACTTAGGTTTGCTGCTACGGGGAAGATATTGAGGCGAGTTTTTATTGCAATGTTGATAGCTTAGTATGAAATAAACAGAATTTCCAAATTTGGTTAAAACCTATAAACAAACAATTGGAATTTTATGTTTTAGGGTCAAAATTTGGAAAAATCTATTTTTACCCCATTAACCCCCGTTTCCATAGTCAAATTATGCTGGTTCAAGAACTCGTATCAACGGATGATGATTTTGGCCTCTGCGGGCCTCAAACCAAAAAAGTAAATCGGTCCCGGGTCTAGGTCTTACCATGAGACCTACGGTAATAGCTTATTCGCTGTATGGGAAATTCGCTAAAAGTTGCTGGTTTTACTGTAACACTCTAATATTACTGAGTCAGTGCATTTGATTTAATGTAGTGTTGATTTTAACTGCATGTTATACATTTATATAATTAACCCTCAAATTTAGAATTAAGACAAACTTCTTTTTAATGTGAAACCGCTTGCTAGTGTAGCCACACCTTTTGCGATGCATCACGTTTGTTTTGTAGTCAGGCCATCGAACTGTGTTCTCATTCAAGCATTGTCACATGGATGATGTGTATGTGTCCCTAGGAGGGTCCAGAGACTGCAGAGTGGGCGAGTGGGGAGAGTGGGGCTCGTGCAGCAAGTCATGTGGGGTGGGTGAGATGGCACGGCGGCGAGAAGTGGTGAAGCACGCACGGCGCGGAGGCAAGGTATGTCCTCCTCTGGTGGAGACCAAGTGGTGTGGCAGCGCTCAGGACTGTCACTATAGCAACAGCTGGTAGGCCACCAACACAGCTATCAGCACGATGTATCTGCACTGTGGAGGTCGCCACTCGCCGTCACCGCCGCACTCCGCATAGTCGCTGTATCATACACTGAGCCGCGTCGGCCACTGCCATGCTCATTCCTTAGGTTAACCAAACAAGACCTCTTGTAACTTGAGTTGTTTGATTCGTTATAGTCTGATTTTCAAGACTTTAGTATGAGAGATGTTCGGTGTGCACCTGTAAAATCTGAATGTATAGCAATATTATTCGAAGCCAATAACAGAATGTGTACGAAAAACAGCCTTCGACGCACCAGCGCTCTTATTATAGTGTGTCAAAGAGTTGTTACTACTATGTATCATTATCATATTAACATATTACTTTGGTTTTACGTCATACTTCAATGAAATTGTGAGCATCTTATCCAGTATTATAACATTTCAGAATCCAAGTAATCCAGGTTAAACATGTTTCCTAACAAAATGTTTTTTCTGTGAAATACAATTTGTATGAATTTTGTTGAGCAAAAAAGATGGTAAATTTTGGCCCAGAAAAGCCATTCTCTAATGAAGGACAATTTATTAAAACTGTACCATACACAATATCTTGTTTGAAGACACATTGGTGCACTTTTTTTAAGGATATTGTTTTAGAGAGTCTTTTAAAGTCTATAAAATATATGATCACTAGTTTTTAGGCATATGTGTAAATACAATGTTATGGATAAGAGGGTTTCAGACCATCTTTATTGTATGTAATATTTTTAGGAAAAGTAAGATCTATTTTGGTAACGAGGTAAATTTCTACATCCTTGTGTATATACTTGTTTACCTGTTCATGTAAGATTGTAATATGACATTACGTTTTCTATACACACGCTTACGTTATTCCTAGCTATCCTCAATCATTTGAGGATTATAAGAATAATGTAGCTCACTAATCGCCATATCATCTTTGAACACCTTCAGTAAATATGCCATCCATACATTTCGAAATTAAATATATGTACTTTATATTGGCTCTTGGAAGTTCCTTTTCCAAATGTCAACAACTTTTAAAGCAACAAGTTTGAATGCGTGCATTTTGTTTCCATCTAGCTTAAATGTCTTGTATTATTATATTATAAGTGCATAATCTGTTTGATCTTTTTTATTAAAATACATAAAAACCGTTTGTTTGGCATAAAGTCCCTAGACATCGTAAATAGTTATTTGTGTAACTAGTGGTGAAAGTGGCACTTTGCTGCACACGAGAGCAATGTTTACGCACGAGCCGCAGGCGAGTGCGGAATGATCTCGAGTGCAGCAAAGGCCTTTTTCACTCGTGTTACACATTATATTTTTCCTACAGTCACTATAAAGCATATAAATAATTAGTCTTTCAAACACTATACAACACGTTTTTAGGTTCAGCTGGCAACACAAATGATGGTGCCCTAGCGAAAGTAGTACCCGCGGTCCGTATCACTCCGCTATTTTTCCTCCGCAAGAAATGTGCTCCGCGTTTTGATAATATAGTTCCGTATGTTTTTGTAATTTGAAGTGGTTTCCGTGCCTAAAAAAATGCTTTAAAGGTATTTTCTTGTTTATTAAGATCGTAGGAATATGTTATAAAAACGTTTAAAAGAAAAGTCCAGTAAGCTCAGAAATACCGAAACTATAAACACGAAATGACAGGTTAAATCGTAGTTATAATAGTCAATCAGCTGCTTATAGTATTATTATCTTTAAGTGTTGCCAACCTATTTCCAAGCGTACACGGATTACGTGCATAATAGAACCACGCTGTTTTGTGTTGTTTCGTTGGAATCCTGATGTGCGGCGAAGTATAAACCGTACGGCAAAGTATAAACCGTACGGCAAAGTATAAATATGCAGCAATTAGCAGCTTTCTGTACTATAAACAGTACAAGGAAGCCAACTTTGTCGGGTGACTGTAGGAAAAATAATTATAAATACAATTTTACATTATTATAAGAAATGGAAATTTTGGTTTTTTGGCATGTCCCAGAATCTTAAATCATTGGATATCTTAGTTAAGTCTATGCAATATTTCTACATTTTAAAATTTAAAGAAAAATCTTACTTTGTCATTTTTCATAAATTAACATTATTGTTTTATACGTCGTAATCTACCGATTACTAGCCAAAAGATTTTCATAGTTAACCTGAAATTTGATATTTTATTATACATATTTTATTATTTCTAATATCGCAGTATAATCCCAGCAAGAGATGTACATTATTTGAAACTCAAATAAAACTAATAAAAATTATCTTCTGTAAATAGACTCTATAGTAGTATAGTTTTCGATCTGTGTAATCTGTGCTAGTCGATATCACAAAGAATTTTTTTAACCAAATAAAGTTAAAAGTGTGACAATCTTCTGAAATACCATTATTTTACCCTTATCCCATGTGAATTGTACGTACATTGTACAGTTCATCGATATATAACTATCATGTGAAACATTCTGTGTCAATATACCGTATAAGAAGAAAAACATTAGACACAAGGAGTTAAACATGCCCTGTCACGTAAAAATGGACCTAAGCAATGCGTTATACACCTTCTTATGCTATGGTATCTTGCATCAACAAGTGAGTGTGAACCAGACTCTATAGTGTTAAAGAATAACGTATCTTTATTACTTGCAATGGATTTAACAACTATTTAACAATATTTATATGTCAGTCTGAATCGTTCTTATGTTGTCCTCTTAAACTATTCATTTGGAAGGGTTTTAAGTAGCTGTTATTACCAAAGTTTGTCAAGGAAAGACTACGGAAAGTAATGCAAAACAAATATTGTTGTATTGTATATAGAAAGAGGCTAATAATAATATATTTTTCGCCGTACTGCAGCAAAAACAGTCATTTTTATACGTGCATTGCGGGTCTAAAGTAGGATTTTTACTCCCCAGGGAGTAAAAAAGTCAGCTGTTGTAAACAGTTGTATATTTCGATTGTAATCAATCGTATGGATCAAAATTATTCATCAAATTATTTATAAGGTGGGTTTTTTTTTCATATCGTTGCATTCTTGTTAATAGTTCAATATATCGATGACATAACGTACAGTAACACAACCGAAATAGGATAAATGATTCAATCAATTACTAAACAGTTGCTTATTGAATTGAAAACAGGCTGAATGTCGTTTTGAGAGGTTATTTTTTATTGAAAAGTATTTTCGTATTCTAGCCTAGTTTGTTGATTAGTCATGCAACATGACAAAAAAATATAGTTCACCACACAGGTAAAAAGTGTCATTTCAAACCTCACTCATTTACCGGGTCGTGAAATTTAGCTCTTGTCAAAAATAGTTGCTTTACGCACTAGTGATGAAATATACTATTACCATTTACCTCAAAGTTATTATATCAGCTTTTCAGCCTAACGCAGTAAAATTTTCCTAACATTACAGTGATCATGCAGAACGACGATCGGTAGTTGGTTGGATCTATAGATCAATATGTTATCACACTCAATGTAAAACAATTAATAATCTTAGCCTAATAACATATTGATGAAAGAATAATTTCGTGTTCCTAAAATATATGCAATAACTATTAGTATTCCCTGTATTGCCTTTTAGTAACAAATTACTAAATATTTTCAATATTTTGTTACTTTAGACCCCAATTAGAACAAATATGTTGAAAGTATGGTAACAGTAAAGAAATTTGAAAACAATCATACAATTTCATACGTTATTAGTTGATAAAGCTTATAAATACCACAATCCAGTATAGCACAAAAAAGTATAAAATATGTTATAGGCCCTATATTTTCCTAATAAATTTAATCCAAGATAATCTCGAACAAACAATTGCAATAGACAATCTTTTAAAGAATGTTTGGAAGAGAATGACTTAAAATATTCAGTTCAGAGAGGTAATATTTCCCCTGTCACGGGGGGTAGGACGAAGAATGACTCTCAATTTGCGATGTTCCCAGATCATCTCCCAGATTTTCTATCTATTCGAAGCTAATGTCTCAATTTGTTTTCCCTAGGAATACGTTTTTCTTTGTTTGTGAATATTTTTAATTAATTACTGAAATAATTTTAGTTGTATTTTAGTTAGTTGACTTCACTTTTCATTATAATTGCCTAATTATTGTTTTCATATTTAAGTTTTGTCGCAAAGCCTTACAACGTAAAATGTTTAATAAAACATAATTTTACTCATGTAGTTTACATTAATATTTAAAACAAAAACGTTACCAATATTTTATTTTGTATTATGAAAGGCCTCTTACCAGCTATGCCAGTAGTGACAATAGAAGAATATGACGTCACTTGGGGCGTTTTTCCCCATAAGAATAACATGGGGATCATTTTTTAGCCACCAAATCCAAAAATCCTGATCTTCGCCTGTACACCCCAATATAAATGTTCAATACCATTGTATAACTTCATTACTATTTCAAATCCACATCCATTCACAAGTATATTCTCAAAATCATCCACTTGACAGTGCGAGGTTTGTATGCAAACTTGGACGCGCCTGTGGCCGGGAGCGCGACCGGTCTTCTCACTTTCAACAGCGACACTAACAACACATTAAGGCTACTTCGGGTACCTCCGCCAAGGTTCGGTGAACCCCACACGAGCAAGCGACGAAGCGTCCATACCACTGCAATTAATTATGCAGACAGACCAGTCTCAGGTGTTCCATTCAATGTCGAGAGGGGGGAAAGAGAGAGAGAGAGAATGCGGCGCGGGAATGAGTGGTGCCAGATGTCTAGACAGGCGCGCGGCGTCGGACGTATTGACAGTGATTGATGTGATGACAGGTGACAGGTGTCAAATTAAATTTGTACTTTTATATTTTAATTTTCTCCAGAAATTGTTAAAATAAATTTTACAAATACACTGCAATTGTTAAAAATTATTTTATGAATTCACTTGCTGGGAATTATATAAAAAGGCGGGGAAAACCGGTTCCTTCAGTCAGTCCCCTTCCGTCGCAGCCAGCGCAGCCATTTTGATCTCTCTCCTCTGGTAAGTTTTTTTTCACATGTGGGGCTGGGCTAGTGGAAGGCGTCGGCACCGTGGACCTGTCTAGACATCCTACGCTGCCACGCCCCTGTCTCGGTAGCGAATAGAATGTCTGAGACTGGTCTGTCTGTATAATTAATTGCAGTGGTATGGACACTTCTTCGCTTGCTCGTGCGGAAATGACTTAGTTAGGTGACTGCCTGTCTGTGTATTTATTATTTGAAACTTAGAGAGAGTATTTTTCAAAAGACTTGTGACAGTGAAACTTAAACATTAAAGTCCTAATTTTTGAACTTAGAAAAATTGTACAGGATTTTTCTTTAAAACTTAGATTATTATTCTCCAATTACACTTTGTCGTTTTTTATGTGACTTTTACTATAAAAAAATTTACTAAGTCCTGATTTTTAAAACTTAGCTAAAATTTCACTCACTGAGATAACATAGATAGTCCTTCCTATAGCACACACATTGTATAAATGTAGACTCAACATTCTGAATTGCTATAAAGTATTTTTTATTTACAAATTTATCTTTTAAGATTTAGTTTTGATTTTGAAAATTGCAATTGTTAAATCTTATTGTATAAAATTGTTTTGAATATTTAAATTTAGAATTCTGATTTAAATTATTATTCCTCATTAATTGAAATTTTCAAAATGTAATTTCTACTAAAGAGTTTTTTTCAATATAATTGTGACAGTCAAACTTAAACATTAAAGACCCAATTTTTGAACTTTGAAAAAATTTACAAAGTTTTTTCTTTAACACTTAGATTATTATTCTCCAATTACACTTAGTCGTTTTTCATGTGACTTCTACTATAAAAAAATTTACAAAGTCCTGATTTTTTAACACTTAGCCAAATTTCACTCACAGAGTTAACATAGATAGTTTTCTCTATAGCACACACTGTATAAATGTAGACTCAACATTCTGAACTGCTAAAAAGTATTTTTTATTTAACAAATTTAATTTTTGATCTAGTTTTGATTTTGAAAATTGCAATTATAAAATCTTATTGTATAAAATTGTTTTGAATATTAACATTTAAAATTCAGATTTAAATTATTATTTCTCACTAATTGAAATTGTTAAAATGTAATTTCAACTATATAGAAGATGCCAACCTAGTTTTGTGTTACATATATAAAATGAAGGCTACATGTCAACACTGCTCTGTGTCATTCTCCACCA